ATTCCCCCAAAGGGGTCTGTCTCAGTATGGGGGAGGTGGGTGCCAAGGATACCTCCTCAATCTGATGTACCAGTAACTCTGAAGTTGGTGGTTTGGATATCACCACCCTCAATCTCTCAAAGAGAGAGGGGGGGGAGGGGGGGACTCCGGTACTCAGATCACTGATAAGTCACGTAGCATGACGTATAGTTCAGGTGCCAAGATTGTTGGTTCCACGGTAACAGGTATAGCAGAAAGCAACAGAGGGTCCTGTGGCACCTTTAAGAGTAACAGAAGTATTGGAGCATAAGCTTTCGTGGGTGAATGCCCACTTCATCAGATGCAAGTAATGGAAATTTCCAGAGGCAGGTATAAATCAGTATGGAGATAACGAGGTTAGTTCAATCAGGGAGGGTGAGGTGCTCTGCTAGCAGTTGAGGTGTGAATACCAAGGGAGAAGAAACTGCTTCTGTAGCTGGATAGCCATTCACAGTCTTTGTTTAATCCTGATCTGATGGTGTCAAATTTGCAAATGAACTGGAGCTCAGCAGTTTCTCTTTGGAGTCTGGTCCTGAAGTTTTTTTGCTGTAAGATGGCATATCGTGGGGCCGCATGGCCCCACAATATGCCAACATTTTTATGGCTGACCTGGAACAACGCTTCCTCAGCTCTCGTCCACTCACGCCCCTTCTCTACCTACGCTACATTGATGACATCTTCATCATCTGGACCCATGGGAAGGAGATCCTGGAAGAATTCCACCATGATTTCAACAGCTTCCACCCCACCATCAACCTCAGCCTGGACCAATCTACATGGGAGGTCCACTTCCTAGACACCACAGTACAAATAAGCAATGGCCACGTTAACACCACCCTATACCGAAAACCCACCGACCGCTACGCCTACCTTCATGCCTCCAGCTTCCACCCCGGACACACCACACGATCCATCGTCTACAGCCAAGCGCTGAGGTACAACCACATCTGCTCCAACCCCTCAGACAGAGACCAACACCTACAAGATCTTCACCAAGCATTCTCAAAACTATGATACCCACACAAGGAAATAAAGAAACAAATCAACAGAGCCAGACATGTACCCTGAAGCCTTCTGCTACAAAGACAGGCCCAAAAAAGAAACCAACAGAACCCCACTGGCCATCACCTACAGTCCTCAGCTTAATCCTCTCCAACGCATCATCAGTGATCTACAACCCATCCTGGACAATGATCCCTCACTTTCACAGACCTTGGGAGGCAGGCCAGTCCTCGCCCACAGACAACCCGCCAACCTTAAGCATATTCTCACCAGCAACCACGCACCACACCATAACAACTCTAACTCAGGAACCAACCCATGCAACAAACCTCGATGTCAACTCTGCCCACATATCTACACCAGCAACACCATCATAGGACCTAACCAGATCAGCTACAACATCACCGGCTCATTCACCTGCATGTCCACCAATGTTATAAATGCCATCATGTGCCACCAATGCCCCTCTGCTATGTACATTGGCCAAACTGGACAGTCACTAGGCAAGAGGATAAATGGACACAAGTCAGATATCAGGAATGGCAATATACAAAAACCTGTAGAACACTTCAACCTCCCTGGCCACACAATAGCAGATGTAAAGGTAGCCATCTTACAGCAAAAAAACTGGGTAACTGGAAGGAGCCTTCTGAGGCTTCAGGCCCTCAGAAGAATGCTCTCAAGACAAAACACGAGTCTGATGATTTGGTGTCTCAACTTGCTGGGCACGGATGACCCAAGCCTTGGCTCATCTCCGGAGAAGTGCTCCTTTCTGTCTGAAGATACCAATGCTGATGCAATAGCAGACGAATGGGGCCTTTGATAAAACATGGCTCGGATATCGGGGTGGAATCCAGCTTCCCAAAGACATTAACAGAGAAGGAATGATTGAATGGCTGAGGCATGCCTATAGCCTTCCTCTCGGTAGTCTGAGGCAGCTTGCATTGATCTTTTGGGAAACAGTTTCAGGCAGGCTTTCCTTGCTCTGAGTGAACTTGGACAAAGAGCAACAAATAGAACATTGCTACAGAATGTATCCTTCTCCAAGGCAGAGAAGACATCAGAGTGCCTGTTGTTAACAGGCATCAAAGCTCTGCATGAGAGACAAGCCTTAAATCTATTGTTTTTGCTTGTGCCATGATGCTAGCCACCTGTAACAAAGTGTAAGTGCTCTATCCTAAACATTTATCTAAGAAAAAAATTCTATTTTTTTTTTTTGCACCAGCGGGTGACTAACCTACTTAACCAAACTAATTAACAACGCTCAGTGTGCCAGGGGTCCATCTCACTGCCAGGTGGTATGGAGGAACTGATGGCCTGCTGGGCCTGCTCTGTCCTTCGTAGCCCCAATGGGCAATTCTTTTAGCCAGTAATCATGTGCACATCAGGGGCAAGAGCACAAGGAGTGGAATCCATATGGACAATTACTCAAAGACTATATGGAATGGAAATAAACAGTGCTTTCAAGTTAACTTGCCTTCAAGTATTTTAATTCTGAAGGTCTTGAAAGTGAATGTCAATGACGACAAATCAGTGGTAACTGCCTGCAATTTTTTGTTTTAAATCACTGATTGGAATAATGCTTCATGTTGCATTAAATGGTTTTCACATATTTGGATTTTCTTAAGGTTTTGAAGCTCTACACAACATTTCAGTGTTAACATTGAAATAGTTTACAGTGACAAATTTTGCTTCTTTGGTTGGATGAAAAAAGCTATAAAAAAAGACAAGTTTAATATTTTCTTGTGGTTTTGTTCTTTGCTTACAGTGGCTTTGTAAAACTAAAATAAAAATACCCTACAAATGGGGCCTTTAAAATAAGAATTTAAAAAACAGTATTTACAGTGTGATTTTACATTGAAATGTATTACAAATTGCAATAGCACACGTTTTCAAGTTAGTTTTGTGAAGACTCAACCAGATATAAATCAATTATGTTTCTTTAAAATAAGCAGTAATTTAATTCACTGATTTATATTTCCTTAAATTTAAAGATTCCCTCATCAAAACTAAAAATACAGGTGCTCCAATTTTGAAATAGGGAAAATTACTGCAAGGAATGGTAAAATACGTAGCTTCACCATTGGTCATCCTGAAAGTACTTGTAAAAACAACTTTAGGGTTTGTTGTCGGGTGGGTTGCTGGGTTGTTGTTGTTTTTTTTTAAATTAAAAAAGGGAAAAGTGAAACTTCTTGTGGCAAAGTGATCCACACAATAAAGCACGACACAAGAATGCCATCATCTGCCAACTTTAGACATAATGGTGGAAGTTTGGACAGCAGGTGGAGTGTGAGAGCACTGGTACCAATCAGGTATTGAATGTAGGCAAGGGTTATCACTAAAAAAGTCTTTAACAACTCCAAAAATCATGTTTAATGGCTGCAATAGATGAAAGCAGTAGATTCCATTTGTTTTCAATGTCAGGTGTAGCATAGCAAAATAAATGGCAGATTTCTTAAACAATCACATACCTGCTCGCTTTGCCTCAATGCAAGCAATACTCATTTCCTCTTTCAATTCTCGATTTTCATTGGCTATGGCTTCTCCTACTGTAACAAATCTTCCAACTGCTAGGTTAACAGCTTGGCCCACCCGCTGAATTGCTTGCAGCGTCTTGTCTGACCGCTTTGGTTTATCCTTATGGTTAATAAGAGTAGTTATCTATAACAAAAAGAAATTAATTGTTAGGATGGCAGGTTAGTCAACATTTTAACTTGAAAATTACTAGCAAGTTTTGAAATACACCTGGGGCCAGACCTTCAATTTTATTAGCCAACACACTATTGCACTGAGTCACATGGAGTCATTTGTTAAATATTTCTGGAAACAAATTCAAAACTGAATATTAAAAAAGCAGTTTGGTGCTCCCTCTTCACTTCTGAACTCACACCCTCTTCTCATAAAAGATTAAAGATTGACTTATTTTTAAACTTCATATGTAGTAATGGGAGCTGGTGTACTAAAAATAAGCCATTCAAAGTCACTTGACAGGCCAATAATACTTACAGTGTCCCTGTTAAAGTTGTTGTATAATTCTAGACTGATCTGCATTGTTTTGGTTTGCCAACACATTCACAAGTCCTGCCATCTTTCCATTCTGTCTATTCAGAACTTGTGTATTTTAATCAACCACTATATCTCACGAATAGAAAAAAGGCCATGTCATAACTATAAAGGGAAGGGTAACAGCTGTCCTGTGTACAGTACTATAAAATCCCTCCTGGCCAGAGACTCCAAAATCCTTTTCCCTGTAAAGGGTTAAGAAGCTCAGGTAACCTGGCTGGCATCTGACCCAAAGGACCAATAAGGGGACAAGATACTTTCAAATCTTCGGGGGGGGGGGGGAGGGGGGAAGGCTTTTGTTTGTGCTCTTTGTTTGGGTTGTTCGTTCACTCTTGGGACT